GCCAAAACAACTCCCCACGTCCTCTCTCCTGATCCTGAGCACCGTGCTGTGAGCCCCTGGGCCGTTGCTTCCTGCCTCTAGCCCCTTTGAAGAGGCTGTGCGCAAGGCTTCTGGCTGCATCTGTGCAGGACAGGCTGTCCCAGAGGAGACACGCTCACCATGCTCACTCCTGGAGACATCTCCGTCCTTCTCTCCCTGGTTCACATTCTAGCAGTCACCCAGGGCCTCCTTTGTAGAGAAAAGTCTCTCTTGGCACTTTGCTCATACAACAATAGCGCTGGAAGCCGGTGGGATTGCAATACAATGGCACTTCTGACTGGACGGTCAGAGCAATTCCTCCATTTCCTGACATGGCCTTGGCCACTGCATGAAGAAAGACGAAGCTGCCTCCAAAGCGGCCACTGCCAACAAAGCTGCGGGAGATGCCAGCACAACCTGCACTTCTTTGGGAGGCTACCACAGTTGGTTCGGTGTCTCCGTGCCAAGTGTGTCATCCGCCTTCTGCCCCTGCGTCTGGTTCTGGTAAAGGGCAGATTTACAAAACCTGGAGATCACAGGCCCGTTCAAGACCCCAGCAGAAGGTGGGGGCTCCCCCTGTGAACATACTTCTTCTGGAAATGGATTGAAGTAAGCTGGAGAAAGGCTTCCTTATCCCAGAATAAGAGCATCCACACAGGGAGTTGTTGTGTGGTTCTGTGCCTGGCTCGTCCTCCCTCCTGACGTTGCACGTCCCAAGGGTGCGCAACGAGCTGGTCAGGAATCTTCTGACAAAACCCGACTGTCAGAAAATGCCCGTTTGTCTTAACCCAACGGCTTTGCAGATGCATGTTTGCTTGGAAAGGTTTTTGGCACATGCCAGTGCTTGGCTATTGGAAGCAGGCCCGGTTTGCCAGAGACTGCAGGGGCCCAAGAGCCTACAGGCCACAGCTCTGTCATTCAGGTGGTCCCAGGGGAGGGACCCTGGGTCATCCAAGCGCCCCAGCCAGCTGGCTCCCAGGCTGTGGGAGAATCAGAATGGCCTGAGACCCGTGGCCTGGTGGAGGGCTCTGAAGCCAGACCTTGCAAGCTCGTGTTGGTGTTTCCAAATCAGCTGGAAGGGAATTTTGAAAAATGGAGGGTTGTTTTGAATGAGCAAAACCAGAGGCTGAAATGTCAGCTTCCCACCAACGAGAAGCTGAGCCCTTGCCAGCTCGTGTCGCAGCTTTGCTGAGAGGCGCTTCTGAGGTGCTGCTGCTTGGATGACTGGCACGAGGGCAAGGTGACGGGCTCCTGCTGGACAGGAGGGGGTCTTCTGGTGCCTGGGGACTGGGAGGAGTGGATCAGCCACGTGCCTGCCAGCCGAGAGCTGATGGAGACAGCGTGAGACTCCGGAGGGTGTTTCTGTCATGGAGACCAGCGCTTCTGCCGGTAGCCGGCATCACACGTAGTGGCAATGGTCATTGAGACAGTGCAGCCCAGCGGACTGGGTGCTTGACTGGGAATCAGGAGAGCTGCAGGAGAGCGCAGCCACTGACCTGCTGGGTGAGCTCTTTCACCTGCTGTCTCTGCACACCTTGGGGACCACCATCCTCTGCGGTGCTCAGGGCAAGAGCATCCTTGTCTGCCTGCGGCATCTGGGATCTTCTGGAATGAAGTGCAGAAACTGCTCTTACCCATGGACGCCTGCTTCACCCCTTCCCCAGCATGTGAGCTTGTAACCCACCACCCTGCCCTACAGTGACCCATCAGCAGGGACTGAGCCTGGGTGTCTCGTTCCAGGGTGCAAGGGCTGGCCTCAAGGGATTGGAAACCACAGCTCCCATTTCCAGCCAGAAGGGCTGCCAGCAGTGCTGGATGTGCTCCCCAGCTGATCCACTCTAGTCTGTAGAGAGAACCAGGTGCTCACTGGAGCAGGGACTGTTCCCAGGTGCCCCTCGCCAGGGTGAGTGCATGACACTTCCCTTCCTTCGCACTCTGTACAGAGGCACAGCTAGGGAGACAAAGAGAGGGAAGGTCACCCTGCAGCCTGGCAGTGCTCTCCAGAGACATAAGACCCCACTTAGGCAAGGAAGGGCATTGAGGCCTGCTATGCTATCTTGGAGTCAGTGCTCGAACCACATAGCTGTTGGATAAATGGGGTTCAAAATGTCCTTTGCTGGTGCCTTGACTCTAACGTCAGTCCCCCAAATATTTTTTCTAGCCAAAGCTCTAACCCAAGTCCTCAGGTAGTTCAGGGACATCACCCCCTAGCTTGCATTTCTTGGTCTTTCAATGACAATATTTTGCCTAACCCAAGTCTGGGGTGGAATCCAGCTGATGGCCCAGGGGGTGGGATTGAGGGGCCCTGGGTAGGGGATGTGAAGGTCTGCTCATTCAGCCCCTGGGGCCTGACAGTCTTGAGACCCAGCCAGGCAGCAGCTCTGGCCAAGCAAGTGTGACTTCGCTTGTGCTTCTGCTAGTCCGGTAGGCCCTTACCCAGGGCTTGCTTGGACCTGGGGTAGAGAAGCCCTTTCTGTGCAAATCTGCACTGCAGGGAGGGACTGCAGCCCCGTTCCTTCCCCAGCCCGTGAGATGGCTGGCAGGGGTTTGAAGGGAGTCCCACAGCAGTGGCTCGCTTCCTGATTGCTGTAGGTGCAGTCCCACCTCACCTCTTTCCACAGCCCCGAGCTGCTGACCCCTGGCCATGTCACAAGACTACTACCCCGGTCCTCTGCCATCGAGGGATTCCCCCTGTATGACCAGCTGCTCGTGTCCACCAGCTGTGGACATAAGAGGGGCCTTCACTCAATGGGGAATTGGGACCCTGCGCTTCTGCTCTCACCCTGGTGTCCACATGCTATAGAGAACCACAAGGATGCTGAAGAGGAGGACGTGCAGACCAGAGACCTGGACTCAGGGAGAAGTGCCCAAGTGTTGAGAAGTACCAGGCCTCAGACATAAATGACTGAGCTCTGAGTAGCTCCTGACCCCAAACCCATCAGTTGAGAACTTGGCTTGAGCAAGCTGTGGATGTAGCCTGGGTTCTGCACGATGTTCCCAGAGCTCAGGGACCTCTGGGTATGTCTGGGCTGAGCTCAGATCCTGCAACTGAGTTCCTGGCTGGTGACGAACGGCTCGCATACTGATCCCATCCTTAAAATAACCCTTTGCCTAGCCATCTCCCCTTTCCACAGATGCCTCCGTGGGGTGGACGTCCTACAATGACGTCCCCACCCTTTGCTGCTCCATCTGCTTGCGTCTGCCTTGGCTTTGGCTTCTTGGCCATGCTCCTCACTTCGCCTTGCTGGGAACAAGGCTCCTTTCTCAAGGAGACAAATGAAGAGTGTGTCCCGTGGTGGGAGCATAGCTCGGCCAGGCTCCCCTCATCCATCACGGGAGGCGGCTGGGATTGCTTAGGAGCCGCCTGACAGGAGACGAGCAGAAAACAAGTTTCTTTAAACAACGCACAAACAGGGATTATTGCAATCGTATAAACATCTCCAAATGGCTTTCCCCCAGCCAACACGTTGCCTATGGAGTGAGGGGGCTGCTAATCTGAGCCAGCTGCTCAGCGCCTCCAGCAGAGCTGCCATCTTCCCTCTGGAGAGGCTGGTGCTGGGTCAGCTCCCCATGGGTCAGGCCTGGTGCTGCTCCCCCGCCACCTAGCCCTGCCACTGTCCCTCTCTGCTGGGGAGCTAGTGCCAGTGTGTTTTTCTGCCCAGGCCGAGGGATGATCTGTGGCAAATGTGGCTGTGGTTCCCTTCATGGCAAGAGAATAGGAAACCACCAGATCCCCCCAGGTGCTTTCTATAAGGCACCAACCCGCCAGGAGTTATGGCAGGGGGCTGGCTCAGAGCCACAAGGCTAAGGTGCTGTGTGCCCCTTGGTATGGCAGGTGCCAGGAGCCATCTGCTCCCCCACTGCACAGAGGCAATGGGAACTCAGTCCCTTTATCCCACCGATGACTTGGCTGAGACCCCTGTGGGAGGATGTGCTGGGCAGTTACGGGATGGCCAAGAGCAGGGCACCAGTGTGCTGGGTGCAGCAGTACCCCCACAGTGAGCCGGCCCCTGCCACAAGGACCGCCTCGTTCCAGACAGCCCTGGGGAGGGGAGAGGGCCGCGCTGGGTGCTGTGCTGGGAGAGGTTAGTATCAGTGGGTGTGTCCATGCACCCACGGCATTGGGACTATGGTGGGTGCTGAGCAGTGCAGTAAATAGCCCCTGGGCATGGGTGAGCACCCAAACCCATAATCACTTCTCTGCCCCTTCTTGGGGCTGCACCTCCAGGGCCACTAGCACAGAGCTGCATAACGCAGCAACATCTCTGAGATGCTATTATACATCTTGGATAGGGATGTCACACACTCTT